TGGTTTCCTAAAAGAATTAAAGAATCTCTAAATTGAGACGTCACCTTCACACACACTGAACACTACTTAACAGGCGATCATCTCCATTATCACCTCGATGGTGAAAAGCTCACAAAGTCCCATCGCGTAAAGATGATGAGCCACACTCCTTGTCAAATACTGCAAAGCTCATATTGTTCTCTCTCGCCTTATCACGATCAGACATTGGCATGAATGAACCCTCGACAGAGACCGTGTTCCATAGGGCAAAACGATGCATAGGGAATGGGCAGAAGATGCTCTGCTTTTACCATGCGTAAAGGCACTAAATTATTTCTGGAAGGGTATTTTCATTTTCTCGAATTGATGTTTTTGACTTCTAACTCACTCGAGAGAACAAAATTCCCTGCAACTAACATTCGACCTACTATAGGTAGAAAATTCATTTAAGCGGGTATCTTACATGAAAATAATATATCCATAGTTGTGGGTATTGGAAATCCAGTAATATCTCTTATAAACAGGATTATCTTATATCAGAGTTCCTCTAAATAACATTAATAACAAACTACAAGATAATATTCAAATTAAAATATTGAAAGAGCAACACAAGAAAACGTGTTTTGGAGCGAGGTCTAAATTAAAAATTCCATGTAAGAGATATCTGGGAGACGATGAAACACTTGCAAAGTGCTCATGTTTAAGGTTTTACTAACAAATAGTTTATATTCCACAAAAGCAATCATTATTAGTTGCTAGAATTTGTCACTCACGCACTTCTGTGTTTAGACAAAAATAAGCAAACGCACTTGCTATTTGTAATAGTTGCAAACGCACTTGTAATAGTTTGTAAGTAATAATTAGTCTTGCCAAGGAAAACAGTGTGAGTGAAAAAATATGGGGCTATTAGTATTATATAAAATCTGTAGACCATCGCCGAACTCGCCAAAATATGTGTAGGCATAAACTGCGCCACTTACATGCATAGTATTAAGGAGACTGAATTGGAAGCACTTGCCCTCCGATCGCCCGCAAAATCTTTTAATTTCTTGCGGGTAAAATGCTTGAAAAAATAGTGTTTTATGCAAAATCACTTGTACGGTGTGCTCATGAATCTCTGCTGCTTTTTAAAAAACCGAATATATTTTACTCAGACAGGTTATTGCAGTTGCAAGTAACATCTCCGACATAGCATTGTTTCTACGCATGTTGATCAACACAAAAAATATATTTCATCCTAATTTATTATATTAATCATACTCGTGTCCCTTTCGAAATTGTTACTTTTATTCCAGCTAATCGCAAATGACGAAAACTTAAATATGCAAACAATAAGACACAGTGATTCAAAGTGTCAAAGGCCTTGGAAAAGTCAAACAAACACTGAGATGGGAACTACCGACGGTTATACGTTGACCATCCCAATTCAAAAAAAGGAAATGGCAGTCGTGGTGCTGTGACCACCATACTCAAGTAGATGAATCGTAAAAATTGAATGCCTCGAAATGAAGTCTTTAATTTGTCATTCAGCAGTCTTTTCTAAGATTTTTGTTAATAAAGGAATTTGAATAATGTTGAATCCAATCGCTAGGCAAGGGAAGGCAGTTGTCCCCTCAACCACAGAAGTAACAAATTGCGAATTTTCATCTCCTGTTTAAAAAAAAAAAATTTCCCCCATAGTTATCGTAACAAAACGGTTATGGTAGTGACTGCAGGATACATTCAACTTCTATCAAATTTTAATATTGCCCTTTGAGTAACAAGAGATATGAAAACAATTGCTCAATTTAATACTTAACAAAATATAATATAGAAAATCAGACATTAAGTTAGTGTTGTAGCATGTACACACAGAAAGAATACTATATAGCGTAAATATAATTCTATAAATTCTAGCAAATAATTATTTAATTACGTGCGTGATGCACTTTCAACCTATAGCACCACACGTAATATACGTAGGTTAATCAATAATATCTGCAATCAATTTTTATTATTCATTGCAAAAAAAGTACATAATTTTTGTTTATAGCATTTTTCAACATAGTCACCCTGCTTTTCAATGCACTTGGTCCATCGGTGAGCAAACTTTCCAAAAACTTCCAAAAAAAAAGTTTTGTGTTGCGCAGCAAGCTACGTATGCATAGCATCTTTTACCTGTTGATAGGAGCAGAATCGACGGCCCCTTAGATCATGTTTAAGTGAATCAAACAGACGGGAATCCGACTAGGCGAGATCAGGACTGCACGCAGGACGCTCCAACACGTTCTAACGCAGCTTCTGGAGAGTTTGACCGGTGCGGGCGGCGCTGCGTGGGAAAGATCTCCTTCCGGCAATGGACATGTGCGTCTATTGCGAATTGCAGCCTTCAACTTGTTTAATAGTATATTACTGTAACGTTCTCTGTTTACTGTTGACTCCTTTTTCTTCCTCATCTTTCTCGCACGTTCGGCCACTTTTGAACTGTTCTATCCACTGGTAAACACTTCGCTTCGGTATTGTTCCCGTACTGTGCTGTAAGTCTTCCATGAATTTCCGCTCCTGGAACTCCTGCAGACCTCAAAAAGGGGATTGCCGAACGCTGTTCTTCTTTGGTATAAAGAAAGAGTGGCGCGACTATCTCTACGTCGTAATAGCCCAAGGTGGACTGATCAGATAACGCTGTAACCTACCACAGACGAATTCAGCGGTACCATCTAGTATCTGTTGAACATATAAACTCATGTAGCCAACCTAAAGAAAATGGGAACAAAATTGCAGATACTTATTGACTTACCCTCGTTGTTTGAGCCTTGCTTATTGTAATCAATCGAGTATAAAATCCTACATGTTAGATACGTTTTTTGGTTCCCTCATTAGAGACAAAACGTCGAAGGAACCGGTGCCCCTCTGAAAAGTGGTTACATCTAAGCACAGCCGCCGCACGGTGGAGACTCATGGCAAGCTCAATCAAGCAGAATATTGAGAGGTGCTATTGAGACGTATCACCTACAAGAATGTTCACGGTGCGTCGAAAATTAAGAAAAATACGACTCACAGTAAGCAGCCAACACACATATGCGACGTCTCCGTACAGAATGCAACCTTGCGCCGCTCGGACTCACGCACCGTTCACGTTCAAGTAGATGCGAGTTGCTAGTCCGGGCTGACGAAATAGTGAGCGAGCTGTCCGTTCGCTTGAATCCGCTGATGCGTTCCTATTCAACCAGCAGTCGGACACTCTCCTCTGTTTGTCAGCCCTTTTCCCTCTCCTCGCCCTCTCCCCGCCCCATTATTTTCGGCTTCCCCTCACGTGAGGGCGGGTGGTTGGTTTGGATTCTTCGTCGGGCGAGAGGTGGGCTTTGAAGGCTGCAACTCCTCTCAGAGCTGCTCCGACAAATAAAATGTCCAAGAGAAGAAAAGAATGGAGGTTCAGCAATCATAGGAATGGGAGTCACCGACCAATGCTTCTTTGCATTATTAATTGGTTAATGGATGGTTTCTAGACTCAACTGTTATTGCCGTTAGATACCAACCATTGTACAGGCTGTCTTATCTGCGAGGGTGGCGGTGATCTTCCCTCGTCGTAGAGCAAAATCCGGCGCCTCCCTATACGTAAATTTGCGGGGGATTTCCTCATCGTATCTCCACCATCGGGGTGCCGCCCCAGCTGAGGAAATCTCTAAGCTCTCGACTGGCCCCCTGTCGCATGTGGTGGTGTAGTTCTACACTACAGAATCACACTAGCTGGGAGATCAGTCATAGCCATAGTTTGCCCCGTCTTGGCGGTCCCGCAGGTGGGAGATACCTAGTTGAGGAAAACCCCGCTCTAGATCTCGCCCTCCAAAGGGGGAAGAGCACCATCATCTCGCGCGAAAACAACATGCACAACACTTAAGAAACAAATTACCTTAGCAGTGGACGCGCCAGGAAGCACCAATCAATCAATCCTGTCTCTATGTGTGTGTTTATGTAAAGTGAAAGGCGGGAAGAAGGATTAGGATGGAAAGATGTCGCGCGGTCCCTGGCTGGCTTGTAAAGGTACTGCTCCGACATTGACCTGGTATTGATCGGATAAACAAGAGAAAAATAATATCAGATCAGCCAGCAACTAGAACTCGAATCCTCCACACTGGGGACTGGAATCGATTTATTAGCTAGGTATTTAATGTCTATATTCGCCACCTCTGAGACTCAAAATCTAGAATCTTCTAGTCAAAGATGCTGCCAAAAGAACGGAATTGCATGCCACAGAACACAGCCATGCGTTTAGGATTTGACTTAGCAAACGCATCATCTGTATCATACAAATCAGATGGGAAACAGCGAGGAAGGCATAACGAAAGCATCTTGCTAGAAACCCGATAAAAAGGAACCACTGTCAATTTCGTAGAATGAACAAAGTTATAAAGATCGAAATACACAACATCATACAAGTTCCAGCGTGCGAAAAGGGAATCACAATTTGATTACGGGATGACAACTCTGAGTATGTCTTCAAGAAATAAGCACTTAATCGATAGTATCAGGGGCTGAAAACGCCGGATTTCTTGGTATAAGGAGATTCTGGTAGTGATGTGTATGCCAGAATGCTTCGGATTCCGTGTCGTAGTGTCGGGAAGCTAAAGAGAAGAAATGATGCGCTGTTGAGAAATTAATAGGAATAAAACACCCTTTCGAGGCGAAGAAAGCAAAGTTATCGTTACAGGAATGAAGTTTCTGCTACCGTAATTCGAGGCGGCGTGCGAAGGCGTGTTAAGTTTGAAGTCCCTGGAGAGGGCAACACAGATGGCGTGCGACCGTGTTTATGCTGAATAATCTGGTGTGAGCGTTGCAGGATTGCGAGTGAGTGAATAGGAGGGCTGAAGGAGCACTCGTGGGCGTTGCAGGTGGCGTTCGGGCGTATTTGTGCTGAACGGCCTTGTGTGTGCGTTGCAGGTGGCGTTCGAGCGTGTTTGTGCTGAATGGCCTGGTTTGGGCGTTGCAGGGTTCTTGTGAGTGAGTGAACGGGAGGGCTAAAGGAGCGCTTGTGCGCGTTGCAGGTGGCGTGCGAGCGCGTGGCGGGGCTGAGTGCAGTGTTGGCGGCGCTGGCAGGCCGCTTCCCACCGGAGACGGAGGTGGCGCTCCGGGTGGCGTATTCGGAACTTCACGACCTCCCGGCGCACACCTTCCAGCAGCTAGGACTCTCAATCCACACCCTCATGCTCAACCACGACAATTTAAGGTGAGCCAAAGCCCGAGTACAAAATTAGAAGTAAAAAAATGTATTTTTTAAGGTTCTTATGCTTTTTACTGGCGTACAAACAATTTAAAAGTAACATATGGGGATGATACCTTTTTCTTCTTTATCACTTTTCTCTTACGTTTGTTGTTTTCTGACATGACTTTCTTATGTATTTAATGTACCAACATCAATCTTACTTTTTTTTTAAAATTCTCTGTTCAAATGGAATGCCAATTTGGGCGAGTTTGGTGATTTGTGCACTAATTCATTCATTTTTGGAATCTCTTCAATCATATTAGTCGTTTCACATTTGATTTTATTATGTGAGAGAATTTCGCAATTTGTTGCAGCAATCTTACAAGGCGACTTTCTTGAATAGTTTGATTTTAGTAATGATGCACGAGCAGAAAATTTTATTGGAACTGACGCATAGTTTGTTCCATTTCTCTTTATAGATATTCAATATGTTATTAAAATCAATATAATCTTGTTATTATCGGTACTAGTCAGCAGCCCCTGAAGGACAATAGAGGCCTTCTGCTGTTCCCTCGCCTGCTCTGTGGTATTAAGTTTAACCTACCTCGATCAGGTTTATCGTCGAGTTAATCTGATCCTTGGAGCAAATGCTGAGATGGGTCTATCTTTTGTTTCAAGACAAACATATTCTTGACGATCTGTGCCCTTTTTCTTGAGTTCGGTGGAGAATGCACTTATTCAAATAATCATTCTACATATTCTCTTGACAGTAAGTCGATTCCCCCATGCAGTGCGTGGTAAAGGTAAGAGCTGTATATAATTTGCCTTTGCTAATAGTCTTCTTTGCGTGGAAACGAATATTTTCTTACAAATTCTTCTCAAAAACCACTACTGCTACCTGTATTTATAATTGAATTTAATAAATTCAGTGTACGAGTTAGGGCAGATACCCTAGAGCTCCAGAAGCCGTTCACGGGTTGAACGTCTTGTATTTGCACAATTCTAACGTCTTGTATTTAGAAGTTCAATTAATAAAAATAATGAATAATAAAGGTTATAGGCTGGTAAGGTAAGTGATATTATAATTCGTGTTGTTAAGTTTAGTAATAATTACTTAGAAACTTCAAATTAAATGGCCAAAAGATATGTTATGAGGATTATGAAAAACAAATATTTCTTTGCTGAGCATTTTATATCTGTTCAACAGAGAATTTGGCAAAATTCGTCACAAATAGAGAATAATGTCACCTCTCACATCCTTGGCTAAATTTGTATCTCTAATATATAAACATTAATCCTTCATGTAGATCGCCGAATCTGTTTTCTTTGCTATCTTGGAGGCCCTATTTATTTATTTATTTTAGTGAAAGGAAAATAAATAAGTTAAAATCTGTGTTTGACGTATGAGGAGAAGTGTAATCTATTTGCACATTTTCTCGATCTCCAGAAACAATACATTGAGAAAAAATCTACACCACCCAACAACACTAGCACTGTTGGAATGAAAGTATTTATGTGAAAAAAAGTAATGTTGCCGAGTATTTCTAAGTCAATTGTGTGCGATTATGTACTAAACGGCCACATTACCTCAGCAAAATGAACGAAATCCTGTTCGAGCCGTTTTCACCAACTGCCTGTATGCAGCAACTAGTATTTTTCTCAGTGTCATCTCACAAGTACAGGTTGAACGCTGGTTGAAATCCCTTCGCCACCCTGAGGCTAGGTGTAGCGATCCCGCCGGAGAGCCCCAAATGGTTCGGGTGGCTGTGGGTGCAGGGAGGCAGCGGGGCTCGTGACTGAGTCACGGGGCCAATTGGCGCAATCGACCTGTCGATCGTGGGAACAGCGCAGGGAGCCGCGTCGCGTCGCGTCGCGTCGCGACCCCGACCTCCGACCCGGCCTCCGCCGCCGGTCGGCGCTGCTGCGTCGCTCCGCTCGCTCCTCTGGCCGAGCGCCAGCCCCCGGCGCCACCTGCGGCCCCTGGCACACGCTCCCTCGGTCGAACACTATACAATTTCTTCATTTCCCTTCGTTCTTCCGATACTTGCTTTATTAACCCTCTTTCCTCGCACTCAAGTTTTAAGTTTTGCTGCAGGTATCATTTGCTGTTAAACTCTAACAGACTACTATACTTCTCATAAAGTTGATGATCAGGACTCGAATATTCGTGATCTAAAAAATCTTTGAAAATTACCTATAAAATGACTAGAGGGGCTAGAGAGGAAAACGACCTATTTTATATAAATATTCCAAAATGTGTATGAAAATGTTTATTTATTCAATGAATTTTACAATGTTTAATAAAATTTATTTATAAAGAATTATATTTAATATAACGTCTTTATTTTACGATGTTAATGTAGGTCCTTATCTCTGATCTTCCAACCGTCAGTTTTAAAAGGACGAGGTAGTTGGCGAAGATCCGTGAAATTTTGAGAGTTCGAAAAACAGAGTACACTGCAGTAGTTAATTTCGCCATGAACTGATGATACAATAAAAACTTTGTTTTAGTATATCATTGTAAATTCAAGAAACATTCACTAACTAAAAGTACAAAAAGGAAACAACGCGTAGAAATGGGAAAAATGTCTCATATGTTCACAAAAATTACTTTAAAGTTTATAAATTGCAAAAATGACAAAATAACTACACATTTCTATCTTCTATATGTCGTGATAAACATTCATTTACACATTAGCTACGTCTAGAATGCACCAACAAAAAGATATGCTATCCGAATCCGAGCCCTGCTCATTGATTCAGGACAGCAATGGTTCTGATACTGTGCAGACACTCTAGAGATCCTAGGGGTCGAGTTGGCTGGTTTTTGATGTTAGATAGACAACTATGTTGGATTCTGATGCAATTTGGAGTATTCTAGTGGCTGGCGAGGCTGATCGGTTGTATTTCGTGCTTTTGTTCTTGTTCTTGTTTATCAATACTTGCCGAATGGTGGAGCAGGACCCCTTACTGATAGGCCATGGTCCGCGCGCGATCGTTCCTTCATCATCAACACCTCTTCTCCCCTTACTCACATACGACCCTTCTTCTCCCCTTACACATATACACACGTACACTTGCATTCCTCTTCACTACCACTACTGGGTAAACCTTTTCCCTACAGGAGCGCTGCCACGTTGATGGAGATTTCTGGAGAGGGAGACGCATCAAACCGACCTGTAGATAGACGCCGGATCTCACGTTCTATGGGAAAAGAACACCGCCACCTTCCGACATATAACATGCACTACACTTGCAGAACAGATGATCAATTCAGTTAATGCGACCGGAAACACAAAATAATTAATGAAGCTGATGTTTAGTTGCCATGATTGATTGACAATGATTCCGGGCATTTCAACTACTTCCGTCCGAAAGTAGATCATTAGGTCCATAAGTGTAGTGCATGTTTTGCCTCGGAAGGTGGGGTAGTGTTACCCTCTATCATAGGTCTTCCCTTCTGGTCTCATAGATACAAAGATATTTCATATATTTTTAGGGATCATTGCAATTGCCGCGCCCAGAATCACGAAATAATCAATGACGTTTTTCTTACCAGATTATCGGTTCAGGGATATTTTCCTTCCGACGAGTGCTGTGGAAGTTCCCTGAAAACAAGCGAGGTAAAGACTGGCCACGTGCTACGCAGCAGCCCGCTGAGTTGTTCGAGTGGCTGCCGCTAGTCGCGCTGGTCAACGTCCCACACTGCTTTACGCCTTTAGGCCCTATACTATCTGAGATCCCCGACTGCTTTGGCGAAGACGCTTATGTATCATTCGTTCTTGAGACAGGATGTATTTAAATTATAACATTGCGCAATACTTCGTTAAGAGTAATCTCAGGTAATTTTTACCCCTATAATATTTTCCAACTACTTTCTTGTTGTTGAGTCATCTTACACTTGCACAAAACTGAACGCAACCCGCAAGTCATTGCGGGATTCTCGATTATTTGCCATAGTAACACTGGGATTTTCTCAATCGTGTTAACAGTCTGAACTATTACCAGAAGGACATCAGAGATTCAGATATTTTTGTATGTTGCTGGTACCAGGTATATTTTTACTCCTTTTCAAATTTTAACATAAAAAAAACATCGATCAGACCTAGGTTAACAGATATTTTATCAAAAAAAAAAAAAATGTATTCGATGAAAAATGTTATTGTTTAATAATTAATATAATGATAAAATTATTACCTAAAAAGAGTTGTAGGTTGGGAGAAGCAATAAATCGTGACTTCGAATTTCTAGATGCTGCAATACTGCGAGTCAGGCTTTTCTATTTCTTTACGTTTAACCTTTGTTAGTCAGAAAGGAGCTGAGATAAGATGCATTTGTATCAAATTGAGTCTGGGGTTGCAATATGAATCATTGGTATGCACGACAGATTGGAATTTATCCGCCGGGCTGGAATAATTCTTCTCGGATAATTCATTCGTGGGCAACTAATATATTTTGCTTCGCAGTCTATATCATTTGTTTTCAGTATGTTTTATGACCTAATACCCTGAGGTTTTGTTTTAGAGAAATCCTGGAAAAAATCAAAATACATTAAATGTCGTTTGCCTCTGTTTATAATATTTCAGATACTGCGTTTGAAAACAATATTCCATGCGCCCAAAATAATTTTATAAGTGGCAACAAAGACCATTCATTACTCTGTGGTGAACAACAATGACATAAGATTTAAATTACGCGCGAACTAAAGCTTTTCAAAAATGTTGACATTCTCAAATTGCGTATTATTCATTCTTATAATGCAAACTCGATTGCAACGTAACATCATCCCGGGTTTTAAATAATAAATGTAATGATAAATATAAAAATTAGTTTGAAAAATATTATACTTTTCGGTACAATCTTTTGTAATGGAATCGAGACAATATCCTACTATTTAATATATTAATATATTTAATGAATTTATTATTTCGCCTTTTTTGGCGACTTCTGTGCACACGTTATTTGATCTAAATATATTCAATTCATATAATTTTGAGGAAGTAATATTATAGGGGTAGGTAGGA